GGCGGGGTAGTCTGGATGATGATTACGTCATAGGTAGTATTTTTATTTTTTTTACATTAATTGCAAAATGTTTACGTAAGCATGGGGGTAAGGGGTAAGAGCTTTGCTTACTTTTGCTGACAAGGGGGATGGAGGAGGTAAATAATTGTAATAAATCTGATTACGTAATACTTGAACAATCCCTAGGGTTCCTGCAATATAAGGTCCTTAAAGTGGTCTTTAACAAATGTAACATCCTCCGAGGAGGTCGGTCGGGTCCAGGCGCGAGCCCTTAGTGTATAGTGGTGTGTGTGTGTGTGTTGTGCCAGGGGAGGAAAACCTGTTCCAGCAAAGGTCAGATTGTATTGTTTAGTAGCTATTCCCTCCGTTACTACGTCAGTTTGTTAATTAGCTCATAATTAAAGATGATTTAGTACATTAAAGTTTAGACATAGGACATGACTGTACTTAGATGCAGTCATGCCATCACACCTGTAATCCTCAGGCATATTAAATTCCGTTAAATGTACATTCCGTTTCATTCGTGTAGTTATCTCCACAGGTAATTATAGGGTATTCATAGAAGTCGAATTAAGTAAACCCTTTCGTAATGGGGAGTGCAATGCTAAAATGTAATAATAGGCAGCCATTGCAATACTCCAGAAAGGGGGGTCAACCCCTTTCAATTCGTCACAATATCTAATATATGGTCTACCTCTGCAGTACATAAAGAAATTGTAGATGACCGCTGGGTTGCCCTCTCAAAAAAAAGAGTGCGAGTAAGGTTCACACGCAATTGAAGTAAAACTTATTTGCTACTAAACAGATAGGTTTTAAGTGAAAATAAATACATCATATAACAATTTTGAATAATGCTTATTAGTAATGTGGTAACACTCGTGATGCACACATTTATTAGTGTCAACCATTATACACATTTATATAATGATAAATTATAAATTATATATTTATAATAGCATTAAAAATATGTATAATATTTGAAAAAAAATGTAATTAAAGTCATACTTCAAATATGACATGATCGGTTTGTCATTGTAATTAGCATTTAGAAATAAACCTTCACTAGAAAAATGAAGTAAATGTTGATTAACAAATTCTGTAATATTGGTTCACACAGTGGATTATGTTAAACAACGCTTAAACAAATATTGTTTTCGCAACTTCACTCGTCATGTGATAATTGTGTTTGAAGAACTTCATGTAATTAAAAATAACATACATTCATGGACTGCTTGTGTTTTTACTTTTTCGCTGCCGATATAATTTCATTCTTTAAACAGCTATAATATCTACTACTAATCACATTCGGCCCGCATAGAAATGATCTCATCAAGAGCGAATGACGAGCATTTACCCTAGTCGCGCCTAAAAAAGTTTTACTTTAAAAAGTATAGGTTAAAATATATAGCAATCACATCACATAAAGCAGGCACAAATTAATATATTGATTTCTCAATGATTAAGTTAATCTAATGAGCCGATTCCGCAACTCAACAGACCAACGTTATGACAAGGCCATGTTACGCTCCAACTTCCATACCATATGCCACTGAATCATACTGAATACTGTCAAAATGTCATGGATTTGCTATACATTCAGACGTTTCGCACATAAACAGCAACGTCACTCGTGTGTTATGAAGCTGAGTCAGGAAGATCCTATTATCCAAGATCGTTTTTGTGACATTTGTGCGGTTTCTAAGTTAGGTTTTCTATCTGACAACCTGAGAAGAACGCCTGACTGCACAGCAACCACATGGCTTTTGTCAAATTTAGTATGGAAAGTTCTTCACAACATAGGCTTGCCATAACATTGGTCTGTTGTGCGGGAGAATCGGTCCATTACTACACCTATTTTTTCCCTACCTGGAATATTTTCCAAGGCAGGCACAAGAACACGGCCATTCATAAATAATTGTCTCCTCAACCTCTCGGCACTTTTGAGCAAAGTTCGACTAATAGTTTTTTCACTCCAAGTACTTGCTGGCCGTATTTTGGAAAAACACAAAGCTGCTATGCACAGAAGCAAACTTTGGGAGTCATGTGGCAAAAAAGAGGCCTTCGAACACTTTTCTTCAAGTTGGCAATGGTGGTTGTGAGGTTTTATCAATAAAGGAACCTCTTGGAGGATTTCTTGATGTTTTTTAGTACGATTACGTTTTGATTTTTTAGGCTTTGATTTGGTTGTAGTGCAAAGACATTTTTTAGGATGTAAGAATGTGACACTAGAATTTGATTTTGACATACTTATTTAATAAATTAATTTACATAAAAAATTTAAATAAAACCACTAAATTTAGACATGTATAAAAAACAAAAAAACATTAGTTTTGTGCCTCTGTCAATTTCAAAATCCCTGCCATTGGTTATGTTATATTTTTAAAGCCTAATTTTTATTTCAGTAGTGCAAGGCATTGTGCTTTAAGGCAAATTGCTAGAACTTCCAGTACCGCAATAAAATATTCCAGGAATATTAAATGTTTTCAAATATATTATAATGTAACTTTCATTATTCTTATTTTATAGACAAAATATAAGAGCTTATAAATTGGACAATAACTTTCATATATCTTCTATATATATATATAAAAATAAGTCGGATTTTCCTTCCTGACGAAATAACTCCAGAACGCACAAACCGATTTGGACAATTTTGCATTCGTTGGAAAGGTCTCGGGCTCCTCAAGGTTAATAGCTAAGAAAGTTAGTTGTGCATGACATAGTGCCTTAATACAAGCTGCTGTAACTTAACGCATCCTAATTAAAAATTCGAGTAATGACATTAGTGAGAATTATCAGAATTATGCTTGGTTAAGTCAACGAGCAATTCTTGCCGCAAGGAATAATGATGTACACGCACTGAATTTCACCATTTAATCAAAAATTGCTGGCGAATTGGTGACATACCAATGATTCCGACTGGTCTTCCTTTTGACTTCAAACGATTGCAATTTCCAGTTCGCCTTGTGTTCGCAATGACAATTAACAAGTCGCAAGGCCAATCGCTTAGTGTTTACGGGATGAATTTCAAATAGATTATTTAGAAAATCATAGTTTTTCACACGGGCAGTGATATGTTGCCTGTTCACGAGTTGGAAAACTATCCGCTTTGTTTGTGTTAACGACAGACCAAAAAACAAAAAATGTGGTTTACCAAAGAGCACTTCAATGAAACGGATAATTTGCGGATTCACTTTCATTTACTTAGAGAAGTTCAACTAAAAAAGACTTCATTTTTGTAATCGAAATGAATTCATTACTGTTGTATAATAAAATCAAATTTTTCCTTTTCAAATATAAAACAAACAAAAAATTTCTTCGTCTTTCTCACGAAACCATCTGGTGGCGGAGTTCGTCGGGTTTGCTAGTGTTTATATAAAAAGTAAATATACAAAACTTGATCAAGCTGAGTTAGAAATATGAAATAAGATCCTTATTCATTCTAAGAATTATTTAAAATAAATTGCAAAGTTAAATTTATTCATTTCAACTTACCCTATGGGAGGTTAAAAATTGTATCCCCACATACACACAATCAAATGGGACTTTGCTCATTTTAGATAAGGGTGATTTCAGTGCAAGATTTGTAACATTCTAGTTCCTCCCCCCACTAAGTAATGCCCAACAGCAGTTTCTGAAGGGACCAGACTCAAAGGCAAAGCAGAGGTTTTAGTCAGTTTTATACCCAGGCGGTATTGAGTCCGACAAACAGACAAAAGACCCAGTCTGGGATTCATAATGCATTTCCTTCGCAAAGCAAAATTAAAAAAATGCATACTCATACACACACACATCCATTTTTTCTTATGCCAAAATATTCAGAACCTCTGAAATGTAAAGTTATGCAAAAATTTTCAATTTTGATTTTTAAATGATTACAATAACTTACCCTACAGTTAGTTAAAAATATTGAATTAATCCTAATGTATAATAGGATAATTAATCATCCACATTAATGCATTTAATGTGGATGATAGGGATGAAACACTGATTTTTATAGAATTTAAACTTCCTGTCAAACATAACTAGTATCTATCATCACAATTCGTGAAATTTCCAATTTCTATTGATTATGTTGATTATTAACATGTACAGGAAAGTCCATCCATGCACCTTTTTAACTTGCCGTAGGGTAAGTTATTGTAATGGGCCGAAAATCGGAATTGAAAATTTTTACATTTCTCGACGTTTTGAAGGTTTCTGAACGTTTTGGCATACCTCAGAAAAATTGGATGTGTGTGTGTGTGTATGTATGTATGGATACAAATTTCCAGTCACGTTTTCGGACGCACGGATCAACCGATTTAAATGTTTCAAAAAACATTCGATTCCTATTGATAGGGAAAAGAGCTGATTAATTTTTGGCAAAGGCAGGCCCAGCCGTTTTGGAGATACGGAGCAAAGAGTGCAGAAAATAGAAATCGAATTTTTGAGAGAACGGAGTATCCGATTTGAATGATCTAAAAAACATTCAATTAGTAATGATTGGGAGAAGTGTTTATTAGTTTTTGGCAAAGGCAGGCCCAACCATTTTGAAGATACGGAGCTAAATATGTAAAAAATGGCAATTTTTGAGAGAACTAAGCGTCCGATTTAAATGATTCAAAGAACTTTCTGCTTGTCTTAACAAAATAATTGATTTTGTTTTTTTTTTAAGTTTTTTGTATATCGAAAATATTTCAGATTTTATTTTTAATTCTGACTATAGTTCTAATATACTTTACAAATAATTTCAACTCTGCAATTCAGTTTATATAATTCTTATGAATATTAGACAATGTTACAATATTTATAATAATCTATTTGAAAACATTCAGTATTCCTCGAACATTTCGTTACGGTACGGGAAGTTCCAGCAATTTGCCTTAAGGCACGATGCCATAATTGCCTCAAGACAGAATTCCACTTACAGCTAGTTAGTTTACATTTAATGATATAAACAACACGATTAAAAAGTAAATAATTTATTTAAAATTTAACATTTATAAAATGGTGTCTTATTTGATTTCCCTTAATATTAAACTAAAGTTACTTATAAAACTATCATATTTAACGCACTCAGTTAGTTTCTGTTTATACAATTTTTATTGATATTCATTTCGATCTACACTATGAATAATCTTGTGTCACCTTTAATTGCACTCACAAGTAAATTTCTTTTCCAATTTCTAACGATGACTCTCCGAAATGAACAACCATGTGTTCTTTCAAGGTACTCGACTGTAAAAATGTTTTCTTGCATATTTCACATGCATAAGGTCGTTCTGCACTATGATTAAGCATGTGGGTTTCCAAAGCATCCAATTGTCTGAATTTTCTACTACAAATTCCACATTCAAAAGGGTCATCTGAATGAACAAGCATGTGTTGTTTTAAATTATACGATCTATTGAATGTCCTACTGCATAATTTACATTTAAAAGGTTGCTCTCCGGTATGAGCAACCATGTGCCTTTTGAGACTGCTTGCTTGTGTGAATGTCTGATTGCATATTTTGCATTCGTGACAGCGTACACCATTGTGTATAAGCATGTGTGTTTTCAAAGCATCTGCTCGTCTGAATGTTCTACTGCATGTCTCACATTTATAAGGGAGGTCTTTCGTATGTACAAGCATGTGGTGTTTTAAATTATATGATTTGTTGAAAGTCCTATTGCATATTTCACATTTAAAAGGACGGTCTCCAGTGTGGGTGACCATGTGGCGTTTTAGAGTGCCTGGTTGGGCAAATGTCTGATTGCAGATTTTGCACTCATGGGGCCGTTCACCTGTATGGATCAGCTTGTGTCTTAACAAGACTGATGGGTGTCTGAATGATTTGTAGCATATATCACATTTATAGGACCTTCCTTCACTTTGACTAAGTACAGTTTGCTCTTCTAAATAATGTTCTTCTGAAAATGAACTATTACTGATGTCCCAATTATAAGAAGATGATTCAATTACCTCTTGTTTGACTTTTTCTTCTATGGATACTTCGGAATTCATGAATCTTTCCAGGCACGTTTCAGACTTATCAAATTCATCCTGATATTCATGCTTAATGTCTTCTATTGAATATTTTGATGGTTCAGTTTTGATTATAGACACAGTTGTTTCTTCAGCCATTTTAGGATATTTTCACCGCGAATACTCAAAAAAACGTTAACGAAAATAGTCGTACACTATATATTAATTTATTTTAGTTAATAATCTATTTAAATGTGATAATGAATCGAACTAAATTAATTTTTATTGCAGAAAATGAAGAGGTTAATGTCTGACACCTGTTTGACATTTGACTTGATTGTTTATGCATAGACAATGTTTTCAGAAAGAGTGAACGTTATTTCGATATTTGATAAGAGCGTCGCATCTCTCTAAATTCAATATAGTTCTCTATGCTTCATCTGTCAACTTAACGTACAAACGCGCGAAATTTTATATTTAAACTAATGGTGCATGGTAGCGTGCCTCAAGGGAAATTGCTGGAACTTCCCGTACCGTTATTAAAAATCTTGGTACGGAACCCAGAAAAATTTACATAAAATATGTACACATTATTAAAATCTCGATAAAATATCTGATAATTTGTTGTGCATATGTCCAATAAACATTTTTGACCGCCAAATGCCATTTTTTCAACTTATTTTTATTGAGAGTCCATAATCGCTGGACCTGCCTTCCCAAAAATTCAATCAGTTCTTCATCTAATACAAGTAAATTTTTTTTTAATTATTAAAATCGGACCTCCGTTCTCTTAAAAACTGGGTTACCGTTTTTCGCACTTTTTGCCTCGTATCTTCAGAACGGCTAGACCTGCTTTTACCAAAAACTAATCAGCACGTCTCCTTATCAATAAGAATCGAATGTTTTTTGAATTATTCAAATCGGTTGATCCTTGTTCCCGAAATCGTCGACCAAAATTTGTATCCGCACACACACACATACTTCCATTTTTTCTAAGGTATGCCAAAATATTCAGAAACCTTTGAAACGTGAAGATATATACAAATTTTCATTTTCGATTTTTTTGCGATTACTATAACTTACCCTATGAGAAGTTAATAATGGTGCATGGTAGCGTGCCTCAAGGCAAATTGCTGGTACTTTCCGTACCGTAATAAAATATTCTAGAAATATTAATTTACATAAGACAAAATATAAGAGTTTATAAATTAGACGACGACGTTCATATATATTTACATGAAAAGTAATTAAACAGAACTTGATCAAGCGGAATTCATTAGAATGAAGGAACTTATCTCATATTTCTAAGAATTATATAAACTGAATTGCAAAGTTAAAATTATTGATCTGAAGTATATAAGCAAAGAAAGTTTTAGAATTGTAATTATAATTAAAATTAAAATCCAAATCATTTTTTATTTAAAAAAAATGAAATTTTGGGATTTTTTTGCCTTCCTGAAGTAAAACTTCTTTAGGCGCAACTAGGAAGTAAATCTGTGCAAATGCAACGGAAAAAGCGTTACGGCCGAGTCGAGTGCCAATGATTCGTAATTCGCTCTCGATGAGATCATTTCTGTACTGGTGTTTGTGATTGGTTGTTGTGTCGCGTCAAAGAGTTCTTTGATTGTATAATGAACTTGTGGTGTATGGCATCGTGACGTAAGGCAAATTGCTGGAACTTCCCGTACCGTAACGAAATGTTCGAGGAATATTAAATGTTTTGAAATAGATTATTATAAATACTGTTAACATTTGTCTAATATTTATTTATAATAATTATATAAACTGAATTACAAAGTTAAAGTTATTTATTTAAAGTATATAAGTGAGCTTCAAAACTTTAGCCAGAATTAGAATTGAAATCTGAATTATTTTCAATATACAAAAAAAAACCAAAAGCAATTGTTGTGTCAACACAAGCAGAATATTTTCTGAATCATTCAATTCGGATGCTTATTTCTCTCAAAAACTGCCATTTTTTGCACATTTAGCTCTGTATCATCGAAATGGCTAGACCTGTCTTTGCCAAAAACTAATCACCTCTTCTCCCAATAATTACAAATTCAATGTTTTTTAGATCATTCAAATCGGAGACTCCGTTCTCTCAAAAACTCGATTTGTATTTTCTGCACTCTTTACTCCGTATCTCCGTAACGGCGGGACTTGCCTTTGCCAAAAACTAATCAGCATATCTCCCTATCAATAGGAATCGAATGTTTTTTAAACCATTCAAATCGGTTGATCCGTGCAATCGAAACCGTGAACAAATTTTTTTTCTGAGGTACGCCAAAATATTCAGAAACCTTCGAGAAATGCAAAAATTTTCATTTGCGATTTTCAGCCCATTACTATATCTAACCTACGGGAAGTTTACTAGTTATAAGTAGCATTTTTCCTTGAGGAAAGTTGCATGTGTAAATAACAGAGGTTTATTAAAATCAGAACTTTCATCGCCGTTTTACAAAAACGGGCGAGTAAATTTATTTAAAATTTTGCACTGTTATGCTAATTCTAAAGAAACGGCTTAGCAGATCGTATAAAAAAACTAACCAATGCGTATAGTTTTTAAATGTTGTGAAACTGACTTGCCCGTTTTTGAAAAAACGTCGATGAAAGGTCTAATCTTAACAAACCTCTGTTATTTACTCATGCAACTTGCCTCAAGGCAAAATGTCACTTACATCTAGTTTAATTTGCATATTGAGCCTCGTCTTTTAATAAAAACGAGGCTTCCAAAAATTGACTACCTCTAATGGGAGTGGAAACGTGTAACATGAGGCGTGAAATCACTTTGACAAAGTAAAAGACGGCAGTACTTTACAACGCGCGCTAAAAAGAATTTGTCAAGGATTTGTTCTAAATTTTAGTACTCAAACTATAAAAACGTTAAATTTTTGGATTTTTTTTAAACAATTTTGTTTTATTTTTGAATTCTGGTAAAAAATTAATACGAGATATTTTATCGCTATTCATTTAATCAATGCTATTCATTTTCTCAAACTTCGATGAATTTTTAAAATTAAACAAACCATATATGTATCTATTAATTTTAATTAAATTTAATTTTATTAAAAATGAAATAATAATTTTAATAAAAAAATTAACCCCTAAATTTAGCACTTAGAATAAATCGTAAAATTGTTGGAATATATTTGTGTACATGTATACATATATATATATATATATATATATATATATATATATATATATATATATATATATATATATATATATATATATATATATATATATATATATATATATATATATATATATATATATATATATATATAAAGCGAAAGGTTTTTCTTCAGATGGTGAAATAATATGATAAAATTATTCTTGGGCATCCATCAAGTAAAAAAACAGTTTTATTGAAAGAAAATATTTTTATTAAGAGAGCATACGTTTCGGGTCTTGATTTGACCCATCTTCAGTGAATCTGACGTGTAGGAAAAGTTTATTGAAGTAATTTGTATTATTCGTAGTTACTACATATTTTTGTGGTTATCAAAATGGAAATTAGTTTTATAGGCAAGACAGTTATTACAGCTGCTCACAGAATGAGACTGTATTACCAGCGAAATAGTAAAAAAAAACAAGCAGTCAATGAATGTATGCTAATTTTGATTACATGATAAGTGAAATTGTGAAAACAATATTTATTTAGGCGTTGTTTAACATAATAATTCTCCGCATTTTTTTTCAGATATTAACAAATATTAAAGCAGTACAACTTTATTCCATCATGCCAAAGATATATCTTTTCAGAATTATATCTCAGACACTTTTGGAAGTTAAGAGAAAGTCTACATGTTCTTCAATCATGATGGGTCTTAAGTATTACAAAGGAGTATATTTTTATAAATAATGAAGAATAAATTGATATTCAGATTTAATACTCTAAACAAGAGATCAAGCACAATAATAGTTTGTGTATCTGTGTATCATTTATATACAGATATACTTCATAATAGATATATATGCAGTTTATTTATTGATAGTGTTAATGAAATTATTCAAGATTGTTATAAGTTCACTGTGTGAACAGACATTATAGAATTTATGAATCAGCAATTACTTCATTTCTCTAATAAATGTTCAAGTCCTACATGCTAATTACAATGACAAACCGATCATGTCTTAAGTGTGACTTTAATTACATTATTATTTTCAAACATTAAAAATATTTTAAATGGTATTACAAATATATAATTTATAATTATTACTATATAAATTTGTATAATGGTTTGACATTAAAAAATGTCTGCATCACAAGTGTTACCATATTATTAATGAACATTATTCAAAATTGTTGTATGATGTGTTTATTTTACTTAAATGCCATCATTAGCAAAAAAACTTTTACTTCAATCACATGTGAACCTTACGCGCACTTGTTTTTGCACATCATAGAATCTTTGATGATGCAGTTATCATAAGATTCTTCTTATGATAACTGGAATTTTGATAATTTTATGATAACTGCAATAGTTATCATAAGATTCTTCTTATGTTACCATGACAACGCTATGTTATGAGCTCTGTTACAGCAGAATTGCCCCATAATTTTTTTTTTTGCACATCATATGCAATAACATTCATATACAAACATAATATAAAAACTTTACCTAATATAAAAATATCTATTCTATTAACACAATATTTTTCTAAAAAGAGATAACTAATTAATTATTTTTTAATGTGTAACAATAATTCGTCTAAATAAATTCTTCAACCAATAGTTTCCTTCTTAACCCTTTCCACTCGCGAATTGCGAGATTTATATGTATTTTGCCGCCAGAGCATTATTTTTCATGGCAATTACTATCACTCACATTATTTTTCTCGGCTTCATGTGTTTTCCTATGATTCTTTAAATTAGAAACCGTAGCAAAAACTTTAAAACATATTTCACATTTATGAGGACTAGTCCGAGTGTGTGTAAACATATGATCTTTCAAAACACGAGACCGTTGGAAAGTCTTACCACATAATTCACATTTATAAGGACGTTTTTCGCTATGCGTGATTAAGTGCTCCTTTAAACTAATTTTTTGTGTGAAAAATTTATTACAAGTTTCACATTTAAAACGTCTTTCACCGCTATGAGTTAATTTATGTCTATTTAGGTAATACATTACCGAGAATGTCTTTTGGCATAATTCACATTTGAAAGGTCGTTCTGCAGCATGAGTGCTCATGTGTTTGGTTAAGGATAGTGATCTGTCGAAGGCTTTGTTGCATATTTTGCATTTGTGGGCTTTTTCTCTGGTGTGGATTCTGTAATGTGTTGATAAGTTACCAGGTTGTTTGAAGGCTTTGCCACAATAATTACATTTGTAAGCTCTGATACCGGTGTGGACTGTTGTGTGTCTTGATAACATGAAAGGTTTGGGGAAGTCTTTGCCACAGATTTCACAAGGATAAGACTTTTTTTTAACATTTAATTCTATCACCTTATCCTCGTCTACAGTCAATTCAGATGTCATGAATTTTTGTAAACTAATTTCATCCTCAGAATCTATTTCTGATTTAATACTTTGTGAATCCTCTAAGTCTACAGTAACAGGAGTCTCTCGTGGTTGAACTTTTTCTATTGCATCAGTATTGACATTGCTTGCAATCACTTCGGTGTCTTCAGACATTATTTATTATTTTTGTACTAGCAATTAACAAGTTATAGATATTTTTATAAATTTAATACATAAATAAATTATTATTAGTATAATTAACAATATACAAATATTTGACATTTGCATTCAACTGTCAAACATGGCGCCGAAGTTGAACGTCTGTCAAAAAGTAGTGCTGCCACCATTGCAATATTAAAACCTAGTGCTTGTCAAACTTTGAGGAAGAAAAGAAACTTTTTGTTAATATTAACAATATCGAAAATACGAGATATTATTTTCATGTAATTTCTATCCTTTGCACTCTTATTTATTTAAATTTATGTTTTTATTTATCAATATTGCTAGATGTTAACTATTTAACAGTTGTAATAAATATTGTAATTAAAAAAAAAATGTAATATCTCGATGTGTCAAGTCATTCTAAATCGTTTGATTCCAAGAACTATGTATCTACGTTTATATATGAACTTTTCATTCTCAAACATTTGATAAAAATCGTTTAGGTCAAATCATTTCTGCACCAAAAAATGCAAGTAATTTCTCAACATTAATAATAAGTTAGAAATCTTGCTGAATAGTTTTGATATGATTTGTGATATCTCCATGTGTCAAGTCATTATGAATCGTGTGATTCCAAGAAGTATATGTGATTCAATATGTGTAAACTTTTCATTGACGCTTTTTCCAAAACGGCTGCACCGAATTCAGAAAATTTAAAAACTATTTGATAAAAATCGTTAAGGTTTTCCTTTTCTTTTATAATTAGCAAAAAAATGCAAATAATTTGTCAACATTAAAGTATAAGTTAGAAATCATGCTGAATAGTTATACGTAAAAATCGGCAAGACCGTTTTATTTTAATTAATAAACTTGGCATAGTGATAGAGAAACTTTTTGTTAATACTAATAATTTCAAAAATACAAGTATGATACGATTTGTGATATCTCGATGTATTGAGTCATTCTAAATCTTTTATTCCAATAAGTATGTGTGATTCCATATGTGAACTTTTCATTGACGCTTGCTTTCTTAGAAACGGCTGCACAGATTTCGAAAAATTTAATAACCATTTGATAAAACTCGTTAAAAACAAAAATTTTCTTTTATAATTAGCAAAAAATGCAAATTGAAGAATAAGTCAGAAATCGTCCGGAATAGTTTTTCGAAAAAATCAACAAGACCGCTCCTTTTTAAATAATGAAACTTTACACAGTAATAAAGAATATTTTTGTTAATACTAATAATTTCGAAAATACATGTATGATACGATTTGTAATATCTCAATGTGTCAAGTCATTCTAAATTGCTCGATTCCAAGAAGTACGTGTGATACCATATGTGAACTTTTTATTGAAGCTTTCTCAAAAACGGCTACACCAATTTCCAAAATTTTAAAAATATTTGATAAAATTCGTTAAGATCAAACCATTTCTTTTTAATTAGCAAAAAATGCGTATAATTCAACAACAATAAAGAATAAGTTAGAAATCGTGCTAAATAGTTTTTCGAAAAAATCAGCAAACCGTTTCATTTTAACTAATGAAACTTGGCCTAGTGATAGAAATAACTATGTTAATACTACTAATTTTGAAAATACAAGTATGATACGATTTGTGATATCTCGATGTGTCGAGTCATTCTAAATCGTTTTATTCCAAGAAGTATGTGTGATTCCATATGTGAACTTTTCATCGACGCTTGCTTTCTCAAAAACGGCTGCATTGATTTCGAAAAATTTAATAACCATTTGATAAAACTCGCTAAAAACAAAACTTTTCTTTTATAATTAGCAAAAAATGCAAATAATTTGTCAACATTAATGAATAAGCCATAATTGTGCGGAATAGTTTTTCGAAAATATCAACAATACCGCTTCTTTTTAATTAATGAAACTTGGCATAGTGACAGAATTTTTTTTGTTAATACTAATAACTTCGAAAATACAAGTGTGAAACGACTTGTGATATTTTGATGTATCAAGTCATTCTAAATTGCTCGATTCCAAGAAGTATGTGTGATTCCATATGTGAACTTTTCATTGAAGCTTTCTCAAAAACGGCTACACCAATTTCCAAAATTTAAAAAATATTTGATAAAATTCGTTAAGGTCAACCTTTTCTTTTAATTAGCAAAAAAATGCTAATGGTAACTTATATATGTTCACTGAAAAGTAAATAAACAAAGCTCAATCAATCAATCAAATATAAAATGAAGGGCATTGTCTAATATTTATATGAATTTATAGAAACAGAATAGCATTTGAAGTATATTAGTGAGCCTTACAACTATAGCTAGAATTGAAATTAAAATCCGAATTATTTACGATATCAAAAAAATTTTTTTTGAAGATTAAAAAAAAAAATTAAAAAAAATCTTTTTTCCAAAAGCAATTGTTTCGTCAACACAAACAGAAAGTTTTTTTGAATCATCCAAATCAGGTGTTTAGTTCTCTCTAATTTTTTGCACATTAAACTCGGTATCTCCGAAACGGCTGTACCTGCCTTTCCCAAAAACTAATTAACACTTCTCCCCATCAGTACGAATAAAATGTTTTTTGGTTCATTCAAATCGGATGCTCCGTTCTCTCAAAAACTCGATTTCTATTTTCTGCATTTTATTATCCATATCTCCGAAACGACTAGACCTGTTTTTGCCAGAAACTGATCAGCACATATTAAGTGCAACCTTCTATTATCACTTTGATAATATATACTGAAAACTGAAGTTAATTTCTCACGTTGATGCCGTTTGGAGGTTAGCTTTCACGTGTGAAACAATCGATCAAAGAGCAAAGTTGTTAGTTCGTGATTACGAACTCATACGATTCTAGACCCGTGACATAACATTTCTATTTTATCCCAGAATTGCTAACATAAAAGTTATTTTTGCTCACTTATATACTTTAAATGATTAATTATAAATTTGTAATTTAGTTTATATAATTCTTATAAATAAATATTAGAGAATACAGTATTTATAATAATCTATTTGAAATATTTAATATCCCTCGAAGATATGGTTACGCTGCACGAAATTCCACCAATTTGCCTTAGGCACGATGCCATACACCACTAGTTTTTAACTTCCCGAAGGAGAAGTTTATGTTTTCATCAAAAAATCCGATTCGCTAATTTTATGTTTTCTCGACGTTTCAAGCCATTCTGAATCGAATGAGACCCAATTTGGAAAAAGTATGTGTGTGTGTGTGTATGTGTATGTGAACAGATTTTTTGCCGTAAATCGACAAATTCTCAGAAACGGCTGGACCGATTTCAAAAATTTAAAAGCCATTCGATGTATCTCGACGGGGACTAGCGTTTCTGAGTGGGACGATCGGCCGAGCTGTTTCTTTGCAAATTGCAGAAAAGTGAACAATTTTTCGTCTACGTTTTAGCCCGCAATTCTGAATCGATTTTGAAAATTCAAAAACCGTTCGAAGGATATCGGTCGGAAATCGTGCTGATTAGTTTTTGGTGAAGATCGGCCGGGCCGTTTTCTTGTAATAAAGTTTTAAAAAATTTTTTTCGACGTTTTTATTATTATTTTTTGGCGATAGTCTTCTACATCATACTAAAGTATTACGGTCCTACGACAACTAGTTTAGCATTCAAAATTCGTCAAAGTTTGCAAAAATTAGTATCGTTTTTTTGGCATTTATCAAAATTAGATCTTTCATCGACGATTGCTCAAAAACGCCTGAACCGATTTCAGAAATTTAAAAACCATTTGATGTGTCTTAATGAGGACTATCGCTTGTCACTTTTGTGCGACGATCGGCCGAGCCGTTTCTTTGAAATTTGGAAAAAATGGTTAAACTTTTCGTCCACATTTAAGCTCATTCTACCGAATCGATTTTAAAAAATCAAAAACTGTTCGAAAGATATTAGTTGGAAATGATACTGATTAGTTTTAGGTGAAAACCTACCGAGCCGTTTTCTTGTAATTCGTTGTTGAAAAAAAAATTGAGCCGATTTTTATGAAACTTTTTTTGATGATTTATATCATGGTCTTATACAACTTATTGAACCATTACGGCCTTACGACAAGTAGTTTGATTTTAAAAAATGATCAAAGTTTGAGAAAATGGGTATTTTTTTGACGTTTGTTAAAGTTAAAATTAGACGATTTACTTGGTATAACGATAGAGTACTTGGTCCTAATAAACATACTAAATCATTAAAGTCCTACGGAAACTGGTTCAATTATAAAAATGATTGATTTGTGAAAATTTGCTTTTAGAAAATGCTCGAGTTAACTTGTTCTTTCGTTTTCAATTATGAGTAATAAATTCACTCGAAATGCTTTTAATAACTTATGAATTAATTTATTTCTTATTGATTAATTCGATTAATTACACATATCGGGAAGTTCATGTAACTTGGCTCGAGGCAAAATACCAATACCAACTAGTTTGTTTATTTTTTCATAACATTTCAAAACATTTGGGTTATTTTCGGAAAATAGAGTCTTAGAAACAGATGTACGTGCCTCACAGTTTGGAAGCCGCAGAGCTAATGACATGTTTATGAAGTTGGCCACTATTGCCTATTGTCTTTTAGATGTAATATGTTGGTATCATTGATAATTTGACATTTCATATATTCATAGGTTATAAAAAATATTTATTAAATCAAAATAATTATAATTAAATAAGTTAATTTATTATATTTATATTATAGTATTGATAAATTTGTATTAAGTAATAAAATGAAGCTAAATTAATTTATAACGAAAATTATATGTTGTGTGCAATGAAATCCTTTATTTAGTAATTTCAACCTCCACAAAATGGATTGTAGAACAGATACTTGTGTACAAAATAATGAAATAAATGAAATTGTACATGAAATAGTAAATATCAAATCAGAAATATGTTCAGAAGACGAAACTACCTCTACAAATTTTGATCCTCTAGAGTACGAGATAAAAGAAGAGATCATTGAAGAAGACTCCCAAGACCAAAACAGCATAAACGAAAAACCCTTCCAATGTACCTTCTGTGACAAATCCT